ATCAAAATACCGGTCGAGCCCTCACTTGTTATGGACCGCTCTCCGACAGCCGCGGAGGGAGCGGACACCCCAGGTTCGTTTGGTATGGTACCGATAGAAGTCACTCTAATGGAATCCCAACAACTTGCCGTGAGCTCGTTAATGGTGTCTAGAGGTAAAACACGACAAATCGAAGAGACTCAACACGACTTAAACTATCAATACCTTTTTAATAAATGTACAAGATTATGACACTAGGTAAGTTCAAAATGTACAGACTCTAAGAGTACAATAAATAAACTCAAAAACTCCAACTTACAGTTTGAGAAAATCACAATATATCACAGCTGTGGCTTAGTATATTATACACCAATAAAGATCAATACTTCACACAACTGAATGGCATCATAATTACCACATAAAACGAAGAAGAGACTTATTGCCTCTACAACAATAGAAATCCAAATAAAGGTCAAACTATCACCGAAGTAATCAAAAAGGTGCAATAATACACCAGAACAAAATATTAGAAATACTACAACTTGCCACACAATACCTTATACAAAAGGTGTTAATCATGTCACAAAATAACAATACTGAAAAAGTGGCACACATAACCACCGGCACAACTCTCCTGGTCCAAAGGTCAATCTGGCTGCCTTTAGACATGAAAAAACCCGAGATTAAATACAACTCAGATTAAGGGGAAATAACTCAAAAGTCTTACGACTATTGGTTGAGGATCTGTCAAGGATCCTCACAGTCGCAAGACCATTGGTTGAGGTTCTGCCAGGGATTAAAAATACAATCACCTGATGTGACAGAGTTCAGTTGACCGATTCGTACCAGTGAACTGACAATTCTCCCAAGGACAAATACATAACTCAGGAGATTAAATATAAATAAAGCAAAAAGACCTAAGTAGGTCACATTACAGATACTGTTGACGTTAAAGTCGTAGAAATGTGGGAATGTGAGTGGGGGAACCACATAAAAATGAACCCAACTATTAAAGAGTATTTAAACTCTATTGACAAATCACAAAAGACACCGACACCGAGCTATGGTAAGAAATGGCCCCTGACTGAAAAACAGATCATCGATTCTGTTTTAGACGACTCATGTTTTGGACTGATAGAATGCGACATTAAAGTACCGGATAGTTTAAGAGAACATTTTAGTGAGATGACACCGATTTTCAAAAGTACTAACGTTACGCGCGACGACATCGGACCGTTTATGAGACAATACGCGCTCGACAACAACTTATTAACTAGCGGTAGACGGACTTTAATCGGTAGCTTTACAGGGGAGAAAATTTTATTAGCGACCCCCCTTTTAAAGTGGTATTTAAATCATGGGTTGGTAGTAACTAAAATTTATCAAGTAGTTGAATATAATCCGGTTTCCTGTTTTAAGACATTTGGGGATACAGTTTTAGACGCGCGAAGAAAGGGGGACATAGACGACAAATACGCGATAACGAGTGAAACAATGAAATTGTTAGGAAACGCGGCATATGGTAAAACTTTGACGGATAAAACACGACATGCGGACATGACCTACTGTAGTGCTAGGGATATAGGGGTTTGTATTAATAATCTGCGATTTAAAAAAAAATAACAAAACTTACCGATGATGTTTACGAAGTAGAAACGTTAAAAAAGAAGATAGTTTGGGATCTCCCTCTTCAGATAGGGTTTTTCGTTTATCAGTACGCGAAACTTAGGATGTTAGAATTTTATTATGATTTTATAGACAGGTATATAGATAGAACAGACTTTCAGCTATGTGAGATGGACACTGACAGTTTATACTTAGCCTTAAGTACCGATGACTTGTTAAAAGCCGTTAGACCGGGACTAGAACACGAGTTTTTTGACATTTACGATAAATGGTTCCCCTCAGAAGTATGCGACTTACATAGACCACAATTTATAAGCGGCAAAGGCACGGTAGATAGTCATTGTCTGGGGTGTAGGGCTAGGAAAATTTATGAAAAGAGAACACCGGGGTTGTTTAAGCTAGAATATGAAGGGGATGGGATGGTATCTTTATGTAGCAAGACGTACCACTGTTTTGGCGACTATAATAAAACATCAACCAAAGGATTATCTAAAAATCACAACACACTAGGCAAAGAATCTTTCATGCAGGTCCTCACAACAAAGGAACCAAGTGGTGGGACAAACACAGGGTTCAGAGCATACAACACGGGGATATATACTTACACCCAACACAGAAACTCACTTTCTTACTTTTATATTAAAAGACAAGTAGACGCAGACAATGACACAACATCTCCCCTAGACATATAAGACCTTTTAGTTTACCAATCGTGCCTTTAACGAGACTTTAATGTAAATATGTAAATAAGACAGAACCTTGACTGTATGCTGATGGGGTTGTTTTTATTCAATAAAAACTTATTATATAAACGGCCTTTTTTTAATTTTTGATGTGAGTTATTGTTTTGTTACTTGTCCCTGAAAGTTATGTAACTCGGTATCCTGTACAAGATGTATGACTGGAATCAAAATCAACCATTTAAAATACTGGATCCGAGTTGGAAACAGCTCTTTACGGCATTGAGCGGTAGCCCACCCAGGCGTGGTAAAACAGTATTCAGGGAATACTATATACACCGCAGTATAAGAACCCTATACCATGTCCGTTGAATGTTTTTGTCTTCAGTGCTGTGGATGGGATTCCACTGAGAGCACGGGAATGTTGGAGCAAACGGAAACTGGTCTTGATATTGGACCGGATGAAGTGAGATCGTATCCTGTACAGATGCTCAGTAGCTTTCATGAGACTAATCAAGGGGAGATGAATCTAGGTTATGAGAGAGTGTTTGTACAGCGACCTATAGGTGGAACCTTTATTGAACCCCTTGATGAGACGCCACCACCACCACCCAGCCCAGCTTCCGACAGCGACATTGACTTCAGGTTGCCTGATGAGGAGGAAAGGTTGCAAACATTTTCAGGGTGTTGGTCCGACGTCTACCCTGTGGACCCTATCAGTTTGGCTAAAAATGGTTTTATCTTCATTGGACCTGGCGACCTTGTCAAGTGTGTTTTCTGTTTGAATACGTTGAGGGGTTGGGAAACGGGTGATGTGGTAGAAGAAGAACATCGACGCCATTATCCAGACTGTCGTTTTGTACGGGGTGCACATTCACACACACACACACACAGACACAGACACAGACACACACACACGAGTTGTTTTAAGTAAATAAAATTTTTATATACATTTAAATGATCTTTTGTGATTTATTGTAATAGCTAACTAAAAGGTGTGACAACTTTCCCATCCAACTATGAAGTCCTACGCGGTCAAAGCATCGGTGTCTGTTATACACCGCAAACCAAACTTTTTTCGGTCAAACCAAAAAGCTCTCTCTCCCTCTCTCTCTCACACACACACACACACAATCACAAAACGAACTTGTAAAGACAAAAACAATATTGCATCGGGAAAACTTCACCGACCCTAGTATAAACCATCCACCAACCCCTTCCAAGACATGGATGGACCGAATTTGAAACCTGTCTTGTTGAAAACTTCACCGACCCTAGTATGAACTCACACACACACTCACACTCAAACACACACACACACACACACAATCACAAAGCGAACATGTAAAGACAAAAAATATTGCATCGTTGAAAACTTCACCGACTCTAGTATAAACCATCCACCAACCCCTTCCAAAACATACATGTAACAACTTTGTAACCTGCCTCGGTGAAAACTTTACCGACCCTAGTTTGAAACCTACCAACTCCAAAGCATGCATGTAACAACTTTGAACCAACCCATTGTGAAACCAAAACCATACTACCCTAGTATAATTCCTAAACATGCATGGTCCGAGTTAAAAAAAAAACAAAAAAAAACAATTAACATAATAAATAAAATAATTAGCTTTATGTTAACTATACCTACTAAACATGTAAAGCTTCCCTCTTTTCCGTTCTAACTGAAGCTGCTACCCAAAAGTTACCATAATATGTCATTTATGTTATGAACTATATTTTCGCTTTTGCTTATTTTTGTACGTTTCTATAGTTGGGGTATTCCGACTTTGAGTAACAAAATGATTGTCTTTTTCATATCAGCAAGCATTCACCCGCGGTCAGCGGTTAGTTCTTTGGTATGGTCTTATATTGTTGTCTATTATTATATCAGAGGTGTGGGTAGTTTAGCTATAAATGTGAATAACCTGACATAAAGTGTTGATAAGTAGATTGTTTTATTCAGCAACGTTTGATCTGTTTATAGGGGCTTTCTGATGATTTAGCACCTTTAATAATGTTTCTGCATGTGCTCATGTGTTTTATCTTGATACGACTCGGGGTCGAAACTGCACTAAGCTAAGGTTTTTTTTTAAAAATAATAGAATCATATTGTACCAGAAAAAAAATTATTCGGTTTGTGTTAATCAGCCTCTGCAAAGTAAAAGTAAACCATCCCTCGTGAACTACCTGGGTATAAAGGGATGTCGTGGAACGTTCGTCCAAGATACCGTTTAAAATATCTCAGTGGCATTTGTCGTCTTGTTTAGTTTTAGAAGATAAAATTGCTTTTCCGTTTGTGTTGTGCTCTTTAGAATAAATATAGGGGCTAAGATGACTGGGTGTTACTTCTGGTTACAAGACCGCGAATGAACGACCAATCAATATATATATTTACTGGTTTGAAATGTACCTGCTTTAAATTGTACACTTACTAAATTTGTAGAAATTTGTAAAATGTGTTAAAATTGTAAAAACAAACTTAGTCAATAAAACCAATATGAATTTTTAGGAAACACAATAATAGAATATAACATATATTCTATAGTTTAACATTTTGAAGTAATTATGCATAGTGTCTAGAAATTTGACCTTGTTAAAAAAATAATATTTTTTAAATGTCTACAGCAGATAAAAAAAGTTCATACATGTGAGAATTTTAAGGAAGAACACAAAACTAATGTTTATTATATTATAAATATGAGATGTTCATACCTTTTTCTTGGTGGAGCTTTTCATATGAGTCCTTTCTATCAGAAAATTCCTTTTTGAGATGGTCAAGCTCAGTATGTAGCACTTCTGGTAGAATAAAAAAAATTGCAAGGTAAATTGGTAATTAAATTTTAAATCAGAGACTTGTGAGAATTTAATTAATGAGTGTCTGAAGTAGAATGTAAAATAGTAGCGTACATGTGAGGAATGTGAAAAAGTTTTTTAAAGTAACAAACACAAATGTTTATTTTATATGATGTATTAATTTTCTATACCCTTTTCCTGGTTGAGTTTTTCACAAAATGCCTTACTATCAGAATATGCTTCCCTGAGATGATTCATCTCAGATTGTAGTATCTCTTATAAATGTTAGAAAAAAATCATAATGAAAATGATAAATTATTTAAGTATTACAAAGAAATGTATTACGCCTATTGTTGAATAAAAATTATAGTCGTTCACTAAACTAAATCAGGCGGGTCCGCCGACGACCAAACTTGGTGCGATTTCTCCGGTCTATCCTCAGAAATGTATTTATCCCTGCGACAAGTTATATATATATATATATATATATATATATATATATATATATATATATATATATATATTTATATATATATATATATATATATATATATATATATATATATATATATATACACATATATAGTCTACATCAATAAAACAAGTCCGCCTCTAAGATTAAATATAATGCTTCGTCTATATATCAGACTCCTATAATTGTGTTTTTTTAGTATTCTTTCTATTTTGGTGGTAACATTGCTGTATAGGACTGTGAATGTTTATGTTTACACCAGTATAAAAACTGTAACATGCCTACCGTTTTCTTTTTTTCCCAAGTTTTCTTTAACTTGCTTTCGCGTCTTTCCAATCAAATCTTGCGATCGAAATTTCGGGCACTTCCCAGTTAGCTAGCGCGCCGAAATTTTCAGGGAAGCTTTGTTTCCGTTGACAATAGAATATTCAATTGTTATTATTACTAAATTGATCCATGGAAACATTTTATTGATCATTTTAGACCGCTATATAATTGTACAAAAAACGGGGGGAAAAAGGGACATAACCCAGTAATTGTAATTTGATGAAAACAAGGTTCGGTACTCTCCCTCTTTTTGCTTACTGAGTAGTGTTCACGCGGTGTTTGTGTACAAACAACCGGAACAACTGGTGGCCAGTATGGGGGAGACGATATGGTCGAGTGGTTGGGCACACGATTGCTAAACCACTCGACACGGGTTCAAGGCACGTGTTTTTTAAGAGTTGTCTTCGTTTACCCAAAAAATAAACCGGGAGTGATCTCCCCTAACCTTTCTCGAATATTCTTATATAAAATAACAGGGGATGGGAACTCGGGCTATAGACATGATTTTTAATCCATTTTAAATACTTAAAGTTTTAAAAATAGAATAAAATCTCGTAGACAAATTAATTGCACACCAAGTGAATAATAAAAAAGTGCATAATAGTGCGCAATATTATTAGTACTTTAAAAATTTACATTTGTTTTTTGAGAAATCGGAAGTAGCGTAAATTACTACTTTCGGTCAACGGAAATTACTCAAATTTTAACAGAAGGTAACGAATTAGATCTTTTACTTACATGTGAAATTTCATTTAACTGTCTGAAATAGTACTCAAGTTATAGGCTTTTGAAAAATTCAAAGTAGGAAAAGTACCACTTCCGGTTATCGGAAATCCCTCAAAAGCTGATACGGATCTACGATTTTGATAAAATACTTATATATGAAATTTCATCAACCTAGCTGTAACGGTACTCAAGTTATCGTGTTTACACACGGACACATACACATACTCACATACACACACAGACAGACACAAAGACACACGGACAAGATTGCATAATTATGTTTTTCCGTATCAGTGAGGTGTAAAACGTCGAGATTTGTAAAAATCTCGATTTTTTAGTTGCACGATTACAAGTTTTTCTCTATACTTCGTATATACGAGAAAGTAAAAAAGTGAATGCGAAAAGATAAAATCGATAGCAAGATTTTAATGCAAACAAACAAAAACTAAAAAATAGAAAATAATTATCATTAAAAAAGTTTTTAAAAAAAACACGTTTTCTGATTGAACTAAAAGTAGAAAATAAATGCTATACATTACAATAATGCAAACGATCACTCTACTATAAGCGATGAAAAACGTGGGGCGCCGTGATTTTCTTACATTTGCTAATACTGTTGACTCTCTACAAGCTTCTTAATAAAAGTCAATAGTGTTAGCTAATCAATAGTAATATAACTTTTACTTCGGCGCCCCACGTTTTTCATCGCTTATAGTAGAGTGATCGCTTGCATTATTGTGATGTATAGCATTTATTTTCTACTTTTTAGTTCGTCAGAAAACGTGGTTTTTTTTTAACTTTTTTAATGATAATTATTCTAGTCTTTCTGTTGTCATGCTGAGGTCCAAAACAAGTTCTGATTTTATATAAAAAAAGCTCAGCGTTATATGTAAAAGTAAATGAAGTCTGTATATATCCTAAAGATATAACCTAATTATGTACTTCCATATTGGTTACCACCTATGCAATATTCCCCCCCCCCCCCCCATTTTCAGGCATTTTCTATAACAATTTTAAGCCGATTTACCAGTAGTCATCTGACTTATGGAACAGTAGCAACGTGGAACAACGATCATATGTACATCAAGTACATTGTTCCTTAAAATATAGAAACTGTCCACGAGTTAGGCAAAGAAGGGGTAAATATAACGGGAGGGAATCGGAGATACACTCTCTTAAGTCTTATTCGCCGAAGTTGGTTTTAATCTTCCGTGTAGATTTCCTTGTAGAGGCTGATTCAACTGTTAGGCGAATTGGTTTTGCATTATTGAGTGTGCTACTTTGCTTTATTATTTTAACTAACAATTGACATGTAGGCTCCTGCTAAATTTTATTTTGTTATTTTAATGAGCAACTTATTATATTAAAGCTAGGAACATGCGTGCATTCATTATCTTCAACTTACACTATATTTACTATTGTTGCTTATTACTGCTTGATGGTGGTATATTTGTTACTATTGCAAGCGTATCTTACAAAACGTATCCTGTAGATACGCGTCTATGGCCATCGTACGTGTAAATCACATTTGTTTTTTTTATTAAAGCTTTAACAATCAATAGTTTTCAATTAACTCTTGACTATATCTACATTTGATAAGTAAAGTTATATTTATTTTCTTCTTCTACACTCGCTATTAAATGAGTATATACAATTGTCGTTGCTTTCGATAAAGTACAGTTTAATTTTAAAAATAACCTACTACCGTATGGCTCCACTGTGTAAGCTAGTAATCTTTTGCTAATGAATTTACAAGCACACAATTTAATATTCAAGTATATTTATGACAATTACCGACACCCTAGAACCAAAATCAGTTGCACTGTAGTTATCTCTATATTTTTTCGATAACAGACTTTTTGTTATTACAAGCTTTTATTTATCTCACTTCCTCTGTCGTCAGTCGTCAGTCGTAAGTCTGTATAGACCGAAACGCAGGAGTGAAAATTCGGACACTTCTACTTAACAGATACGATTCACAGTTGACACGTGGAAAAAGACATGAAGACAATAGTTGTATATTAGGTCACTTTTGATTATTATTTTTGGCGGAGGAGCGAAGGCGCAGGCGCAAAGGCTATATAGCAAAATACTCCCCGCCTGGGGGAGGCGGATGTACAATGACATATAGCAAAATACTCCCAGCCTGGCGCATCGCAGGGGGAGGCGGATGCGCGGGAAGGCGCAAAGACATATAGTAAAATACTACGCCAACTGGGGTTGGCGGAGGTGGAGGGTGGCGCAGCCTGGTACAATGAGATATAGTAAAATACTCCCAGCCTGGCTCAGGGTGAAGGGTGTAGGATGAGGGTGAAGGGTGAGCCTGGCGCAATGAGATATAGTAAAATACTCCCCCACCCTAGGGTGGCGGAGGAGCGGAGGGTGGGTCACCTTTGGTGACGTAATCACTGACCTTGTGACGTATTCATTGACCTTGTGACGTAATCATTGACCTTGTGACGTAATTAGTGACCTTGTGACGTATTCATTGACCTAGTTCATAATTTTAATGATTTTTTTAATGAGTTTTAATAAGTTTTTTTAAATTTTATTTTAAAATTAGTTTGAATTTTAATTTAATTACATAGTTTACTTTTTAATTATTTTTATTGAGTAGTTACGTAATTTTATTTTGTTTATTTTGTTTATTTTAATTTTTTAAATTTTTAAATTTTTCAATTTTAAAAATTTTTTAATTTTTTAAAATTATTATTTTTTTTGTTCTGTAATTTTTATTAACGAGTTACGTAATTTGCTTATTTGTTTGAAATTCATTTTATTTCTTTGTATATTGCTTTAAATTCTCCAACACAACGAACGTGTACAAAAAACAGGTTACATTCTCCAACACAACGAATGTTACAAAAATAGAACATCCATTAACCAGCCGTGCAACACGTGTTACTTATCGATCCGCAATCCTTTGGTTTTTTTTTTATTTATTTTTTTTTGACACGCGCCGCCCGGAGATTTATGGGTATTATATTGATTGCAGCCATGGGGCCATCAAATGAGGGTCCGCCTAATTAAATTGGTCATGCATCGTGGCTTTATGTGTTGTTCGCCGAAGCGAACACCGCAGGGGTTATGGTAATTAATCGAAAGAGCTGAGTGGTTAACCGCAAAGCCACCATTAAGTGTGGGAACACCTGTTACCACTTTAATTGATTTTCTCACTCAGTTTGACAGTTCATGATGATTAATGCGAGCCATTAAGTTCCTCTCCGCGTTAAGTGTGCGAACACCTGTTACCACTTTAATTGGTTTTACCACTCGGTTTGACAGGTCATGATGATTAACGACGTACATTAAGTGGCTTTCCGCAAAGTCAACAGGTAACAGCTGGTGCTGTAATTAGGCTGAGCAACCGTATAAATGACCGCGAAAATTTTGTTTTAATCACTTCGACTTCGGACTTCAAACCAACCATCACCTCCAGTTAACCAGCCTGCGACCTCTGCTGACTCCTGAGACTAAC